TTCATGAGTGGAAACCTGTAGAAGGGGTAGTCGTTCCTAATTCATGGATTATTTGTGAGAAGAATTCACGCGAACGATGATTTTCCCAACGAAAAGAAAGATATGATTGTGATTGCCAAAAGATATCAAATAATCTTTCAGGTTTTGACAAAATTGATCCATTACGTTCGCTTCAATAATTTCTTGATACTCCAATCAATAATCTCAATGCTAATATCCTGATGCCACAGGCAAATCCAGGGGGAAACCAAACATTGATTTTGGAGCGGTGATTTAGAATTTGAGTGCTTCGACCGCATCTGGGAATGGTTATAGATTGATGAACGGAAGGTAAATGGAATGCCCATCAGTGTCCACCTACGTAGGATGACATCATGCATATGACGATCGATTGTTATGATTATTGATACTGTGAGTTTTTTCATTATGTAGAAATGTTCAGTCACGACTAGGTAATTTTGTTGAATTATCTTCCTTTAGAATCTATTGTGCAGTTTATACTGATAATGCTCAAATTTACACAAAGGACATCTGTACACACAGAAAAACCTAAACGTAAATTAGGTTTTAGAAGTGTGAACTTTTTGAAACGTATTTTTCCAAGAGTGAAGTTGAAGCGTAAATTACGCTCAAAATAGCTGTAAATTACGATTACATCAACGTAATTAGTAATTTTCTATTTCTTATTCGTAAATTACCCTCAAAATCGACGGAAATTACCCCTAACAACACGTAATTTACAAAACAAAGTTTCTAGTTTCCATTCAAAATCTGTTATTTCATAACTCTGTCGTCCTGAAATCTGGAAAGCCAAAAATCCTGGAATCAAGTGAAACTTCCACTTATTCGAAAATATTTCTTCACTCTAAAAAGATCGATCTTAAATTTCCCGACATTTCGATCTTAATTTAATGTGATGTCTACGATACACCGATTAAGATCAAACTTTTTGGAGTGTTTCACGAACCATCAGTGAAAAAAGTTTGAGTTCTCGACAGTTTTCACTTGAATCTTGTAAAATTGCATTTAGATTGATATTACAGACCACAATATAGATTCAACAATCAAATTTGTCAATCAAATTGCGTGGGAAAAATTTGACAAAAATCGTGAATATTCTGCGTCATTCTAATTACATTTTGCATAGAATTATTATTTTTTAACATTCGTTGTTTATAGATAAATAATTAAAATTGTTTAAACGACTAGAAACCTTATTTTTTAGGCATAAAATCGATTTACAGATCGCGTTCTTTCCGATTTTACCAAAAACCCACCATCATGAAAGGTCATGCAAATGCCTCCAAATTTATTCATTACAAACATTGCAAAACATCCAAAATGGTTTCCACCCCCTCCTCAAATAAGCCGTCGCCATATAAACTGCAGACAAATTGAAACAGCAAATTTATTTGAAGTTGAGCATAAAAGAGAGAAAAAAGCCAATATGCCGGTCGAACCTCCATGTATGGATAATGTAGCAAAGTGACGTTAAAACGTTGAAACGTCGCCGTAGGGCGTATATCCTGGGCGCGTGTTTTCGCGCGAAAATTGAAAATACCTCGACTTCAAAGAGGTGTTACCGAAGGGGTGACTAGTAAAAGCGAGTGAACGATTACGTTAGAGGGTTGAATACGCGGCCGTAGGGGTGGGGACAGGGACAGACTGTTGGTGAGTCGAATATACGTCTTTCGATGGTGTTGAGTGACGAGAGCCGAATAGTTCGCATCGTACGTTAATAGCTCATTAAGCTTGGCGCCTTCTCACGCTGTGACAAGGGAACAACTACACTGTCTACCCAATATTAACTAAATATGGTAGCGCAATGGGTTGGGTATCCCATGTTGCACATTGACTTTGAAAGCGTGTGAGAAAAGCTTTTTGACAGACAATGCGCTTGGGAAAGTACCCATAACTGTCTGGAGCGAATTCAGAGGAAAACTTTGACAATGTACCAGAAGATCTTATCTCGTGATATGGGATTTTTCTTCTCAACATTTTCCTACGTTAACGCTTGAGAGAATCCACAGAACAGTTGTGTGAAATTCACTGAATTTTTCATGATACGGAGTTTAAAATTCCTATGATTTTTTAAATATGTCAAATAAGTTTGGCAACATCCTGTAAAATCCTAAACTTCTTCCACCAGATGAGATCAAAAGTTTCGGGAATTTGGTATTGGAAGCCGGAGATTTTTTTCCTAACCCCTGGAGAAAAATTTGGCTTTGTAATCGAGTAATAAATAAACAAATGAAATAAAACTTTTTGCCGAAAAAAAAAATTATGTTTTCGCATTAAAAGTTGGCGTGATAGCCACGAAAACTAATCCCCCAGTTGGCGCTGCTTCACAACGAGGGAATTGAAGGGGTGGAGGGTGTGGGAAGATGGGGGGATCAGGGGAAAAATGCAAACGAGAGGTTGACGTTAGTAGCAACCCTTTTTCACTGGCAACAAACGAACATGACCACACACGAGGCTAGAGATGAGTTGGTTTTCAGGTTGGAGGAGGCAAAACTAGGGTGGAGAGACACTGGTGTAGTAAAACGTGCTTTCACGGGAGTGGAGGGTTGAATCGGAAATACGTGACCCAGCATACGAATAAGTTTTTGCACACTGTGACGAAAACCCCACTCAGTGAGACTGGCTTTAGAGCCCCACGTGAGGAGCGCTGATATAGACCTATTGAAAAAGACATTGATCGCTGGAGATGAGTTGTGGGTTAAATAGCGATAGCTTGAGGGCTAGGTAATTGAACAGAAATTGGTTCGAAGTTTGGTGAACATAATTGGTCGTGAATAATGATTATGATGGTAATGAGTTTTATCATTTTGATGATTGACTTTCAACTGGGTAACAAAGGAATTCCATGAGGAGTGAAATGAGTGAAATTTTCACTTATTTTAAGGGGAGACTACTACGAGTTTTAAAAGTTGCGGGCTATTGAAGTGAAATTTTTCGTACGTTGACGATCAATTATATATGTCTAAAAACGAATAATTAGTGCAAAAAAATTAATTGTTTATTGTTCGTTTGCCCCGTAGATACGTAAAATGTTTAAAATAATCCAGGGCCTCCAATTTTTTAGCTAGAGAGGTTTTTTTTCAAAATGTTTGAAAATATGTGTACAATAGCAATTACGGGCTAGTTTTTTGAAATTCGACTCCTACACAGCTAATTTTGTTTTTTTTACATAAAAAATTGCGCTATTCAGGTAAAATAGCTAGAAAGATATTTCTGAAAGAATCGAAAGTACATTTTTAATATTTTGAGGATCATTTTTCTGGCTAATTTACATGAATGGTGCAATTTTTGAATAAAAAAAAAACTAAATAAGCTGTGTACGAGTCGAATCTGAAAAAACTGACTCGTAATTACTATTGTACACTTTTTTCTAAAATTTAAAATTAAAAAAAAAAAGTCTCTCTACACTGACGGGAAAAAGTAGTTTTATCAAGAGAATTTTATTTGAACCAACGATCATTTGGTTGTTAATTTTTACATAAACATGATTTCATAGTGAATGGCGGTTATCTCTTCTTGATATATATTTGATTAAGAGTAATCGAACTTCTCTAAAATCGAAGTTCCTTTTATTTGTCGCAATAATATCAGAAATTTGTTGGTTTACTCAAAAATCCAAATTATTCTCATGACTAAATACGTTGTTATCTCAATCAACACGATCATACGGTGTTCCAAGTAAATTATAACTGAAGTGAGCATTTCGTATGTCGAATCAGGATGAATATTGTTACGCTGAAAAAGCTTTGAGTACTACAAGTAAGATGTCGTTGAGTTGAAAGAAGTTCATATTTCTTGACTAAAAAAATCGCATTAGTTTACAATAACAGAATCACAGATTACGGCAATTCTACACAAATTTGGATGTCACCAATTTCGTTCAATGTGATGTGAAAGCTCAATTGAAACATCGGCTTCATTCGAGAAAACAACATTCAATTAATTCCTCAATGCAATCATCTCCTAGCTACGAATTTTTGATCAATTCATGAAAGTAGAAAATTTATCGACTGGAGATTATATTCGGTTTAAAAAAATAGAATTTTTCCATTTTTGTGGTGAATACGTGGGACTTGACGCCAAGGACTATTTTATTTGATTCAAGTAAATGTCTCTCAGGAAGAAATAAATTATATTCACAGTAAAATCCTATTTATTTGAAATTGGATCAAGTATGTAATACTAGTTCCAAGAAAGAAACATCTTCAATAAAAATAATTTTTTCTATCAGGGTAGCTCAAAAATTGGAGGCCCTGAACTATTTTTAATACTTCAAGCGTCTGCGGGCAAACGAACAATGAACAATTAATGTTTTTGCACTAATCGATCATTTTAAGACATATATAATCGATCTTCAATGGATGATAAATCTCACTTGAATAGCCGACGAATTATTCAAACATTAATCACTCGAAACAAATACTGTTTTGACATTGAATTTTGAGCATTTTTCTTTTGGTTCTGGTAATCCGAACCTTTTTTCCCTCCGTGATTCTGATCCCCAAATTTCTAACCACGGCGCAAACATTCCCCCGTACATCTCCCTACAACTGCAGTACAGAATTTCAGACGAAAATTAGCTTTGCCACACTGTTTATCATTAGCAAAGAACTGATGAAAAGTTACGGTCAATGACTTACAGAGTTTCATACCCAGAAGGGTATATACACAAGGTACTCGTTGACATTTTCAGGCTAGCAGAGTTGGAGTCTGGTCCAGGCAAGTGGCTCTATGTAAACAAGAACCCCTCTCCCCATTTTCTTCTCCGGTCTTTATTAATCGTCCACGTTACGCTCGAGGTAGATCGACGAAGCCAACTTTTGAACAAACATTTGACCCTGGGGGTAAACCTGGCAACCAATGGAAAACCTCGGCTTTTCAGAAGTTATCTAGTGCATACTTGTTACTGACCTTAAATGTTGAATATTGTTTAATTTCTGGATGGTGAAGTCATGGAGTTTTTGAATTTTTTGTTGTAGGAGTGTTTGGAGGAGAGGGTACTCGAACTGGAGAAGTTACTGCAGAATGAGAGGGCTGCGGCGCAACGAGATCGGGCCACTATCACAAAATTACAACGCCAAATCAACAAGGTAAAATTTTCACTTCATTTTCCATTTTCTTGTATACTAATAGCTTGGAAAAGAGTGATTTTAGGAGAAAATTTCGTGATACCCTCTGATAGACTTTTCCAAGAAAAAGTTCCTAACACGAGAACTTTTTTCGAATCTCTTGAATAATGACTTTTTTCTAATAAAAAAATAATTATTCAAGTAGTTTTCGACTCTGATTTCAGTAAATTTTCAATCCATTTCAAGACATACAAAACAAACTTTCTTGATTCAAGTAGATCGCAACTTGATTTGAGTGTTCTTTCTACTCGATTCAAGTAGGAATACTATGAGCCAATCCATCCGGGTTTCCGATTCATTTTGTGTATAATTGTTCCACGAAAAATGTAAATCCGGAACCTAGTTATTCAAGTCAAGCTCAACTTGAGTCAAGTCGTCAACTCAACGTGATATTTTTTGGAGATACTTGATCCAAGTCGATGTGATCTACTTGAAATGGATAGATTCTCGATTTGATTCAATTCTACTCGGATCAGTTAGAAACTCCGGATTGAATGGAGACATTTGTTTTATACACTGTAACTCCATCAATTCGCACTCTCGGGTGCTGTAAATAGACAAATGGATTATTTGGAGAAGAAACATCTCAAATGGTTACCTTTACGTGATCCAAGTCAAACTGAGAGTTTATTTAAATTGAATTGATACCTGATTCGAGTTGAATTGACACTTGATCCAAGTCGACTTAAATAGAGTTGAAGGAGCTACTTAAATTAAGCGCAGGAGCTGAGCTGTCTCAAATCGCAGAATCTACTGGGATCAAGTTGGATTCGAGCTAAATAAAGTCGATGAATCTACTTGAATCAAATCGAACCCAACCTGAGCCAAATTACAGAATCTACTTGAATCACGTTGCGCCCGACCTAATTCGAATAAACAATATACTTGAATCAAGTTGCACCCGACTTGCAGTCAAAGAATGTATTTGAATTTCCTTTGATTTTTGAGTAAAATTATAGAATCTACTTGTTTCAAGTCGGGCCCGACCTGAGTCAAATTGTAGAATCTACTTGAATCAAGTTGCACCCGATCCTATTCTATTCAAAGAATGTACTTGAATTAATTTGGATCTGACCTGAATCGAGTCGTAAAATCTGTTTGAATCACCCGAATCAAGTTGCCTAATCTACTCGAATGAAGTCGGACGCGATCTGAGTCAATTCACAGACTCTAACTTGGATCAAGTTGAACGCAATCTGCATCAAGTAGCCATGCTCGTTTGTGCATGGAGTCAGACTCCATTCAGGCCTTCGACTACCTCATGGAATAAGTCGATTCTCAACATAATTCGGTCCTATTTATACCAAATCGGCTCTTTCGACTCAATTAAAAAACAAATTTTTTTGTCTTCTCCAAATATTGTAAAATCATCGCTATTTCTGTATTGCCCTCATCATCCTTTATCACTTCACTACCGATTCTCATCAACATTCAGCAAGTAACGGACTACAGCTGTGACTATAAAAATACTAACTACCATAAATAAGTGTCAGGTAGCGTGGGAATTATTACTATATCGCTGGCATTATTTACTTAATTACCCCGGACACTTTCTCTACTTTTTCACGTCGCAATTAATCTTACCCCACAAATCTACGGGATCGCGCCATCTACCGATGGCGTCATCATACCGCCCGTATTTGTAAATCCAAACTGGACACACCCACTGAAGCAACTCACCCTCCACACACCTTCCACTCTTATCGCCGAAACGACAGGAATTTATTATTTCTTTTTTTCTCGCTGCTCGACAGGAAAGTGATCGATAACCCAAGGATTTCTTTTTCCACGACTCAATAAATTACCAAAATCATTCTTCTATTCTCTCACAGAAAGGCATGTCATCTAAAACATGTCAGTGCCAATCGTATTTGGCCTCGTGTCATCATCGTTTTCAAACCTGAAATTCAAATATAAATGCGGTAGGCAAATGTTTTTCGTTACAAAGGAAGTATAGCCCTACCAAACCCACACACACGGTCTGATACATTATCTCCGCGTAGCCACATTTCGGAGGGGGTAATCTCGACTGATTTATGCCGCCGCGTGAGCGCGATTCCGAGCCCGGTAAAACGTGGGCTATGGTTCATTCGAACGTTATTTTTTTTCTTTTTTTTCACTCTTCCAGTATTTACTTTAGTGGAGAATTTCCGTATAAACCCCACGGCGAAAATCGAACCCTGGCTATTCCGAGAATTTCCTAGCTTCCGTTGCGTGAGGAAAGAGCGCCTCGGGGTTATCGTTTGGCCCGACAGAATCGTATTTCTTTTGTTCTTTATGGTTAATAATCCAGGGGATTTGGTGCAAATAATAGTAATGATGAAATTTTTTCATGTAGTTGAAGTAAAGTTTTGGGACAATTGGAGTTTTCGGAGAGGGTGGGATTTATTTAATTTACTAGGGGTCATTGAAACGCGCAAGACCTTTGTATTGAATAATTAATTAAATTTGTGCTGTCTTTTCTATTGAAAGAAAAAATTTCCTGATTGCATGGAAAAAATTACAAAAAGTGATGACTCAAGGAGTTCTCCACTTTCTGAAGTCGATTTTCGACCCATTTCAATTGGCGTGACTCCATCAATTCAAATTTCGGGGTTTCTGTCAGTAGAAGCGAATTAATTGAAGACGAAACATTTCAAGTCGTTATCTACTGATTCAAATCAGACCAATGGATTAATTCACGCCAAAAAATATACCGGTTTCAATTAGTAACTATGACTTGAGTGAGGTCAACCTTGACCTCAGTCAAGTCACAGAATCTACTTGAATCAATTTAGATCTGACGTGAATCGATTCGCAAAAATGTAATTGAATCAATTTTAACCTGATCTGAATCAAGTCGCAGAATCTATTTGAATCAAGTTGAACTTGACTCCAATCAAGTCGGAAATCTACTTGAATTAAGTAAGACTCAACCTTAATCAAGTCACAAAATCTACTTGAATTCAGTAGAACCTCACCTGAATCCACCCGCAGAATCGGCCTGAATCAATTTGGATCTGACCTGAATCGATTTTCAAAATGTACTTAAATCAAGTCGGACCCGACCGGAATCAAATCACAGAATTTACTTGAATCAATTTGGACCTGGCCTGAATCCATTTGCAAAATGTACTGGAATCAAGTCGAACTCAACTTGAATCACGTCACAGAATCGACTTGAATCATTTTAGGCCTGACCTGCATCAGATCACTGCCGGTTTACACATTTTCTGGTGAGGCTTCATCCTGGCCATCGATCAAAGCATGGAGTAAATCAATCGTTAACATGATTCAGTGTTACTCAAATTTAGTCACGTCTCTCGACTTGATTACGACGTATTTCGGAAGTCGGAGTGGAAGAAGGAGAGGGAGAGTCGTTATTAAGTCGTTAAATCTCACTATTGACTGTTTCTCCCTCTCTCTCTCTCTTAGATTGGAGAATTTCTTTCGAGCAATGTTCGAAAGATGAATTGTTTCAATTCAATATCCAGCTCTTATTACATAGTCGAACATAATTCACACCCAACGGTTCTCTCACATCGTTGACCACAGACGGTGATGACAATTTCTCAACCACAGAGGGTTGCAACTGTACTAAGGACATTCCTTCAAATACCTCACCCCATTGGCTATCGTTTTCCTCAGGAAAGCAGCAGCCTGAACTTTCGTACCATTTGAAATCAGAAACGAGAGTATAAGTTCGACAGGAGTTTTTCAAGGGAGGATCTGTTCATTCCATTAACCCTCATTTAGTGCAGATGTCTGAGTGGCTATTCAAAGGATTGTTAAAAATAAATCAGTGCGCCAAAGCACACGGAAAAAGCTGATCTACAAAAATGGTTGCTCATAGATATTAATTATCATGAGATAAAATCGGATTTCTTAGGGTGCGCATCTGTTATAATTGATGCCTCTGAAATGAATGAAATATCCAATTCTCAGCAGCTTGTCAGATTTTAAGAGAGATTGATGAAGGGGAATTATCAAAAGGAGGATTATATCCAGAGAAATGATGCATGTGAATCAAATAAAAATAATTAATAGTTGAGTTGAAAAACGAAGATTTCTCTGCGATAAACTCAACGTTTCTTCTTCCAGGAAAGAACTATTCAGGAATGAAATTTTTGTTTGCACTGTTGAAAATTCTCGTCTGGATTTTCTAAGCCGAATTCCGGAAATTTTTATCGTGTTCAAGTTCCACTGAAATTTCAGGAAATCTTGTCATTGAAAAATCAAATATTCCATTGATTTTCTGCTCAGATAATCTGGAAATCAATCAAATACTTCATTTTTTAGTTCAATTATTCTGTGAAAATTCAGAAAAATCAGAAGAATTCTTCAGCAAACATCCAACTTCGTTTTCATAACAGTTTATTATTTATTCCTTATGTGACATACAATATTTTATGAGCTCAAAAACCGGGATCTAGAATCGCCCTCCGGGATCTAGGATCTTGATCGAGCCTTATATTATAAAGTGGATTTTTTGAACGGCATTTCTGTCACTGGGCGGAACAGCTTGGATATCCTCAAAACAAGAAATTTCTGAAATAATCTATTGAGATTTTATTACTGCTCCACTAAATTGATAAATTTCTGATTCGAGCTTGATTTTTTTTTATTCATGAGAAAAATTTTTGTCCGAAAAATATTAACGAAAAAAATAGTCGATCAGAACTACTGATAAGCTTCGCATAACAATTTATTTGGACGAGTGAGGGGTTGGTAACGATCACGATGAGGACACCCGATACGAGAATCTGCCATATCCGTGTCCCCCCAAAACGTCCACCAGAGATAAACTTAATTGAATGGCACAGCATTTCTTCTCTCTATCCTCCTCTTCGGAAAATATATGAAGGGACATGCAGAAGTCGCCTATGGTTGAAGAGGATCATCATCATTGGGAGAGGGAGTGCTTCGGATGATGGCTCTCATTCGTTTTTGTGTGTGCCTAACGGCAACCAAATGGCGAATGA